TGCACAATCATCGCCTCCACAAAGTTTTACAGTATTTTCAAATTTTAAATTCTCAGGATACACCAAATCAATATCTTCAAGATAATAATTATTAATCGTTTCTAAATACTCCCTATCAACCAATTCACCAAAACGAGCTCTCGTTTGCTGTCGTTCAATAGACATTTCGATTGGAGCAGTCACATAAACAACTTTATAAAAGTCAAGTAATTCGATTGAATCAATTTTTCGATCGATATATTCTTTTTCTACCGGATCTTGGAGAAATTTGTTAAATATCTTCATATCCTTCTGAGTACGATCAAGAATAATGTAATTAAAATTATTCAACAAAGACTATGGAAAACTGAAAATGTTTTTTTTAATTTCATAAGTCATTTGTTTGAAATAATCCTGTAAAACATATTGGAAAAAGAGAAGATTCTTTTGTTTGTCTTTATTGAATATGTGAAATTCTTCAGTAACTTGTAACGAAAGTTCTTTGTAACGTTTTACAGTAAATCCTTTTCTTATAAGAAAAGTTTCTAATAATTCAGCACAAGTTGTCTTGCCAACACCGATAGTTCCTGTGAATACAATTATCTTTGTTCTCTTGGTCGCCTTTCTCAAAATGAGAAAAAGAAAAGGTGAAATTAATAAACACAAAAAAATAGTTTGAAACATTTTTAAGAGAAATGAGATTTATTATGTTTGACTAAGAAAAAATCTGTTCGGTATTAAACTAAACAGATAAACAAAACTAATAAGGAGTAATTCTATTTACATTTTTATTTTTACGAATGATAATTTTACCGATAGAAACATTTTTTCCGACCAAATTAATTAAATCAAAACTATCTGTGGTATAATTTATCAATTCGATATTATTGTCATTATCGTTTTCAAAAAAATTCTTGATGATTTCAACAAACTCTTTTTCGTTACAGATTTTGATATTTTTTTTGGACGTTGTGGTAGCCCAATTTTTAGCTTTAGGAGTAGCGAAATTTTCATCTAATTTTTTGCTATTGTATACAATAAGTCCTAGAGAATCTGATGAAAATCTTGAAAGTGCTGACTCAAAAACTCTTACAATATGAACATTTACAGGAGTTTCTACATTCTTACATTGTATAAGAATAAGTTTTTCCTTATGAGTCAAAATAATATCGATACCATTATCGC